AACCTCTCAGTGCCTCTGACTCACATCGCTAGAATATGGATAATAAGAGAACCCAGATTACAGGGTGGCTGGGAGGATTAAATGAGTTATATGAGTCAAATGCTTAGCATGGTGCTGGGCATGTAGTAAGGATACAAGGAACATGAGCTATTATTCTTCCTGCTTATTTAGTAGGACAGGCAGAGAACTGGTGGTATGTAAGGTCCATTATCACAAATACATATCACCTCTTCCCCTGATGGTTGGCACACAGTGGGCAGCAATGGTTTGTCACTGAATAAATAAATGGCAAAGTGGTTGACAGGCTTTTGTTCAAGGAAATACACTGGAATGGTAATCAGAAGTAAAGCTTAAATGTCAAGAGGACCAGCCCAGTAAGCTCTTAATTCAGCTTTCTATTGACATCACTGTATTACAGACATCCACTATGTTTTCATAATAATCAGTCTGAGGCATTATATAAATCCTTTTTGTGTCGAATTATGGATGATTAAATTATATTCAATGAAGTTTTAGAATTAAGTATAATTTACTGCATTCAAATGCTTGAAACACTGGAAATCCATGAAGGACACAAGTGGCAACAATGAATTAACTGGAGTATTCTCATGCATAGCAACACTTTATTCACCCATCTGTACCTACCTGGTATTGTCACCCATCCACAGCTGCATTTCCTATTAGACTATGAATGCTTATGTTCAGTGCTTTTGTATCTCCAGTGCCTGAGATATAGTCATGCTTAGTAAATACTTACCAAATAAATAGCCATTGTGTTTCATGACCAAACCAGATTATAGTTTTTGGTCCAGAAACACACTCTTTCAATTCTACAACATAATAAAAAAAAAACTTATAACCTTGAGATCACTTAAATATAAGTTTCAACACTTAAAAATATGGTCCACAAGAAAATCATTCTTGAAAGCCCTAACATTTTAGACTACATGACTTAATAGAATCCAGTTAAACTGAAAGCTAATGCATCTGAAAACGCATTCTCTTTCCCCACCCCATCTCACCTCCAAACCAAGAACACTTACACAATTTCTATTACAATCAGATAAAAGCCCCTGCTTTTCTTTTAATTAGTAAAGGCTTATGCTGCTGGTCTATCTGCCAGATGGTTCATCATCCTATTATATTATGTATGGTGGTACCCTGATCCAAGGAAAGAAAGTAGGAAGAAAAAAAGATGAGAAATGTTAAGAAAAGTGAGGTTGAAAGTGACCTCTGGGCTGGTGTGGTGGCTCATGCCTGTAATACCAGCACTTTGGGAGGCCAAGGTGGGCGGATCACTAGGTCAGGCGTTTGAGACCAGCTGGTCAACATGGTGAAACCAAGTCTCTACCAAAGATACAAAAAATTAGCTGGGTTTGGTGGCACATGCCTGTAATCCCAGCTACTCAGGAAGCTGAGGCAGAAGAACTGCTTGAACCCAGGAGATGGAGGTTGCAGTGAGCCGAGATTGCATCCCTGCACTCTAGCCTGGGTAACAAGAGCAAAAGGTAGTCTCAGAAAATAAAAAAATAAAAAAGAGAGAGAGAGATCAAACAGAATAAAAAAGACAGCCAGCCTATCATCTCCTGGACTCTCTCACACAAATGCTAGGGAAAATGGCGAGTGTGGTAAGAAAGGTGGTCTGCAGCAAGTGATGTCTGGGCAGCTCCCCTCTCAGCTTAGCACCCCTCCCCCCAACACACTGCACTGGGAGCCTCAATCATAGAGTCCACTCTAAAGTTGCACTCTCTACAAGGTACTTAAGTGTCACAGGGATTACACTTTTAGCAAAAGGATCTTGACTTTAAAGGTGGAAGTTTAGTCTTCATCCTGTGGATAGGAGGAGTTTGGGTGCCAGGATTCAACTAGGGGTGCCAAAGACAAACTCCCATTCCTTTACAGCTTTGCTGGGACCAGCTCCATTTTCTTGGTTTGGAGGTGAGATGGGGTCGGGACAGAGAAGAATTCTGTGAAAGTACACTCTGATTTTGGCCATGGCTAGAATTCCTCCAAAGAAGGACCAGTACTCAGGATGTTATGCTAGGCAGGAAATGGTTCCATAAAATGGACATTACTTACCACTCAGCATTGTTTGTGAGGATTAAATATTATTTTAGACTACTTAACATACCATTAGGCACATAGAGCCTGTTAAGTGTTTACTATTATTTCACTGATATGTACCAACAATGATGAAAATAAGCTTCCAAAAAAATTTGCTCACAGACCATTAGAAACAGCTGCACTTGTGCAGAAATCCATAAGAGTTGTCCAAGATACAAAAGAGCGAAATCTGTTCTCTTTTTAAAGATCTTTTTTTCTCTCTCTTTTTTTTTTTTTTTTTTTTAAAAAAAAAAAGACAGGGTTTCACCATGTTGGTCAGGCTGGTCTTGAACTCCCGACCTCAGGTGATCCGCCCGCCCTGGCCTCCAAAGTGCTTGGATTACAGGCATGAGCCACCACGCCCAGCCAAGATCTATCATAGAGATGGGGTTTCACCATGTTGGCCAGGCTGGTGTTGAACTCCTGACCTCAGGTGATCTCCCTGCCCAGGAACTATAATCTTATTACATTCTGTCAGTTAAAGCATCCCCTAAGTATTAAATATGGCCTTCTGTTTTCTTATGATGTGACATCTTTCCAGAGGTGTTCATCTCCTTTATCTGTCTTCCTCTCAGTCTCACAGTTTATAAGGGTTTAGGATACCTACTTTTTGAACTTTGTCAAAAGCCTGCTTGTTAGAGTAACAGTCCTAAAATAAAAGAAGAAGAGAACCTGGGTGGAAGGGAAAAATCTCCTCCATGGCCAGCAGCCATATTTTAATATTAAATAAGAAAGCAATTTAGGCCAGGTGTGGTGGCTCACACCTGTAATCCCAGCACTTTGGAAGGCTGAGGCACGTGGATCACTTAAGGTCAGGAGTTCGAGACCAGTCTGGCCAACATGGTGAAACCCTGTCTCTACTAAAAATACAAAAATTAGCTGAGTGTGGTGGTGTGCCCCTATAATCCCAGCTGCTTGGGAGGCTGAGGCAGGAGAATCGCCTGAACCTGGGAGGTGGAGGTGGCAGTGAGCTGAGATCATACCACCGCACTCCAGCCTGGGCAACAGAGAGAGACTCTGTCTCAAAGAAAAAAAAAAAGCAATTAAAAAATATCAGAAACAGCATCAGTCTAGCACCTAGATTACTTATCCTACTGAAGAGATAAGTGTTTAAGAGACCCACGCTGACGCAATCAGGTGTCATGAGGTAACAGGCAACTAAAAGAAGCTAAATAAACCAGTTTACAAAAAAGCCAAAGCACAGCTTAAAATAAGATACAACTCTGCCCTGGAATCTCTTCTGGCACAGCCATCTCATTCAATCTGGCAGGCACTGTCAAAAAACAAAAGACATCAGCAGAGAAGACACAAGTCTGTTTCAGGGCAGCACCACATATACAAAAAACAAGGTTTTGGGGAAGATACATGCTATGAACCAAGCACGTGGCAGGTATCCAGAATTCTCAGTTCCATATAGATTCATCAGACCATTATCCATGGGCTTCCTGACACTGAGGTTTCAGTCATCAGGAACTAGAAGGTGATGGGCATACCACATTTGGTTCCTATACATAAGACAAGTTGGGGTGGTATGGGGAATGAGAACACCCTCCTTACTCAGAATTTTATTTTATAGTGTGTACACAAGTGCTGTTAACAATCTCAGCATTCTAATGTTTTGCTGCTAAAAGCAAATCATATAAAAGTTGTTTTTCTCAATGGATAGGTATTTCCTTGCTTTGTTTTAATTACATAACATTTTCTTCAATTTTTAGCATTTGCTACTTCTTATTTTGACTATTTTTTCCTCATTTTTTCCCCCTGCAAACACTATGGCAACTTGGGCACTTGCTACTTCTTGGTTGGAAGCAGTTGACAAAAAAAACAACTTTTCCCTGTGCTTAGTCTACTAAAGCTTCTTTTTTTGTTTGGTGGTCTTGATGGTATGATTTTGGATTGCCTAATACATAACGTGTTGTGCTAGAAAAAACTTCTAACATACACATGTATTGTTTTCATTTAAAAATTAATTAAAGAGAAAAGAAACAATTGAATGACCCAGGAATTGAAACTAACCTTTTCTGTCTAAGCTATACCCCTATGCCCCTCTTGATTTGCTGGTATCATTTGCCATGTGATGGTCAATACATGTCTGCTGGGTGAGTAGTAAAATTCTGGGGGCAAACCAGTTTTGAGAAGCTTATAATCTGACTGGGGGAGACATATCTTGAAACTATGGAAAGATATTTAACTTCTAATTTTCTATTTTTTTTGAAATGGACTCTCACTCTGTCACCCTGGCTGGAGTGCAATGGTGCAATCTTGGCTCACTGCAACCTCTGCCTCCTGGATTCAAGCGATCCTACTGCCTCAGCCTCCTGAGTAGCTGGGATTACAGGCGCCCACCACTACACTTGGCTGATTTTTGTATTTTTAGCAGAGATGGGGTTTCACCATGTTGGCCAGGCTGGTCTCAAACTCCTGACCTCAGGTGATCTGCCCTCCTTGGCCTCCCAAAGTGCTGGGATTATAGGCATGAGCCATCATGCCCAGCCTAATTTCTAATTGTCTTAAAAGCAAATAAAAGAAACATCAACTGACCACGATTCTGCACATTTCTTATTTCAGTATCACTACGGTAAAGTAAGCTAGTCATGAAAACTGCCATTTCACTACAAGCTTACATGGTCTCCTTTTATTAACGCTGAGTATGAACACGAAACATGATCACCTGTTTAAAAGAAAAACACCTGGTTGTTCTTTGACAATTTTAAAATAAGGAACTTTGGCTTTTTATTCCTTTTATGAGTTTCTGTAGTTGACTGCTTTTTTTTTTTTTTTTTTTTTTTTTTTTTTT